TATAAATATATAAACTATGTTACATGCGTTATATGCGTCTCTAATTATTTTTCCCTAGCAAATTTCAATTGAACCTAAAGCCGCCACGTCAGTTTAATTGATATGCTAATTGATTGACAACTAAGCAAGGTTACTTTTTAATTAATACAAACTTGAGGTTACATCTTTTCAAATGTTTCTCAATTAATATATAGAGGATTATTTGTGATTTTTTTGTTAAACTTTTTATTTTATTTTAATTTATTTCGTTGCCCCTATCAATTATATTTTTCTCCTAATTTTTTTTAATGTAAAGCATACAGATTCCGTCGTATGTGATTAACATAAAATGAATTTTGATTACTTGTATATTTTTGCAATATTTCTGTATATTTTTGTAAATTTATTAGATTAATAAAATATTAGCAGCTCAGTTTATGACACATGAATATCACTAAATCATTTCATAATCTATTTATTTTTTTGAGCCGTCAGGTTTTTCTATTATTTATAGTACTGATACATTATGGACTTCGCATCTCATTCCAATATTTTATTAGAACAAAAAGTAATGAAAATAATGTTACTAACCACGTTACTTCAAATAAAATACTCCGAAACAAATAGGCATAACAAGGTATCATCATCATAGATCGATATTGGGTTGGTTGTATCGATCACAAAAAAAAATTGTTTCATCGAACATATATTGGCATCGTATGTTAATGTTCCCTACGTCTTAGTAGGTGGAACCAAAAATGAATGAAAGACATGTGAATGGTAGATGAATCACCCTAACATTCTTTGCTCAATTTTCAGATACTCCGTATTTGATGAGTCTATTTTACACATATATACTTTTCCCTTTACTTCTAGAAAAATAAAAAATTCAATAGCGTTTAGTTTTTGTTTAACTAAAATAAGATATTATTTACAACAAAACCTTTTGATACTAATATCTGAATAAAAAAAAACAAATCTTACGATTTTGAAATATAGGAAAAAATTTGGATTTTAATGGAGGAAAAATATAACTATATCCATCCATTCAAGGTTTAACAAATAGTGTCAATAAACAAACAAAAAAGATGTGAAAAGGTTTGTTCTGTAAAGTTCAAAATAAAACATATGCATTAAAGTATGAAATATCTATTCAAATGGTTTTGTAACTGTATTTTCCTACGATTTTTGTAAGTCCGCAAAAATTTGTAAAACCCAAGTAGTGTTTTTTTTTGTAACACTCCCAAGTAGTGTTTAGATAATAGTAATACCATGGGATCCGTAACTGTTTTACATATTATTATCGAATTAGTCTTAGTAATCTATTTTATAATCATCAATTATGGCTGCCACTGAAAAAGCAAGTAGCGGCAGACTGCTTGCGTGTGCATATACGTAAGCAAACAACTCTTGTAAATAAACTCTTTTACGTTATATAGTTATTTAATGTCACTAGAGATGATATTTTGTAGAACATGAATGAATATGATATAAGAACTTATGTGTATGTATACAAAATGCAAAGTAGGTAGGTGGACACGTGATTCAAATATCTAGCGGCCATGACTTCTATATGCTCCACACATCAAGCCGTAAACGGAACCCACATCTACAGTTTCTTGTTGCCATTCCTATCGAATTCGTCACCATTGTTTCACGAAACTTATCTTAGACCTTTATAATTAAATATTTAACATTTGACATAAGTCATGTATCTTAAAAATATAAGAAAAAAATATTGAGATAGCCGTCAAAATGCGGTTGAACTCGAGTTTGCTTACTTACTGACTCTTTGTCTCTTTTTATTTGTATATTTATTACTAATTTCGTTGCAATTTAATTATCGATTTAAATAAATGCAGACATATTTTAAAAACGTTTAATTTTCTACATTTTTGAAATAAAAATACTATTATATCTATACATTCAATCACATGTTAACCAAAAAAACAAAATAATTTATAAAATTAATAAAATAACTTATTAAAATTATAAAATAACATTGATTTTAAAACGAAAAATTTTATTTTACAAGAACAGTTTAATTGAAACGGAGATAGTATAAGTATAACCTTAACATTATTCAATATAAGTAATGTACTTACAGATGATCAAACCATACGTTAATTCAAATGTAACACTATAATGAGTTGAAGTTGCCAAAATATTTTCTCCCTAGGCACTTTAAAAAAAGAAGAAAAGGCGCGACATCGAATTCATCAACAAAATCATTTAATATTGTAATAACCAAACACATGAAACACGAGTATAAATAAGTCAACTATATTATGGAGTTTCGATTTGAAAAAAAAAAAGATAAGGGCCTGTCAAGTGCCAATGCCATACACACCTTCCTAACTGAAATAAATTCAAAAATACTCGCATGATCTTGGATTTATTTCTCCACACAGTTGCAGATAGCTTATATTTTATATATATACTTCTAGTTACAACTACATACATTTCTACAGGAAACAAGTTTTAAAATAACCTCCAATACCACATGTTGCTATAGGCCTTTCATTTTCAACGAGGATATAATTCAGTGATTGATGCGTCGTCAATCGACCAAGGGACAGAGTTGCTTTTAGTAGATTGTCCTGAATCAGTCAGGTCCTTGTTGGGTCTACTCTGAGCGAAAAACTTTGGTTGCTTAGGCACTGGTAAAGTAACAGTGTTACTACTGAGCATCATAACGATGGTTGATAAGGTTGGACGGTTCGCAGGATCTTCTTGAACACATAAAAGACCGATATGGATGCATCGAACCACTTTATTTATCTGGCAATTATGTCTGATAACCGGAGCCACAAGGTCTAACGATCTCTCATTCCTCCAGAGCCTCCATGCCTAGAATATTAATCAATCGTTCAATATTCCCAACCATATTTAATTGTAAGAGGACAAAGATACGACTTATAACTCACGTATGTAACCAAGTCTTGTGCTCCGTCTGTCTCGAAGAAGCTATTATTTTTCTTGCCGCTTATAATCTCAAGAACTAACACTCCGAAGCTATAGACATCGGATTTCATTGAGTACTGGCCACGCATCGCATACTCAGGAGACATGTAGCCGCTGGAATCCACAACAAAAGAAAAAAATATAGTTTTTGGCAACAAAAAAATGTCTATCAAACTTCAAATTATGTGAAGTTAAAAGGAAGACTTACTAAGTACCAACTATCCTCCTTGTGCTCTTCTCAGTCTGGTCCATTCCAAAGATCCTTGCCATTCCAAAATCAGCAACTTTCGGATTCATATCTGCATCTAGGAGAATGTTACTTGCTTTGAGGTCACGGTGTATGATTGTGAGTCGTGAATCTTGATGAAGATATAGAATCCCTCTAGCAATTCCACCAATGATCTTGTATCTGTCATTCCAGTCCAGCTGAACTTCCTTAGCAGTGTCTGCACGCATCCATACATTTCATTTAGCTCTAATTATATGCAAACCCAAATTGCAAGAATAAATAAAAAAAATCACAGGAACAAAGTATTAAGTAACTGACCAAAGAGGAAGTAATCAAGGCTTTTGTTAGGCACATACTCATAGACCAGAATCCTTTCTTTTCCTTCTAGACAAAACCCTATAAGCCTAACCAGATTTCTATGCTGAAGCTTTGCGACAACTGCAACCTCGTTCTTAAACTCTGCTTCACCTTGTCCTGAAGTTTTCGACAATCTCTTTACCGCAACTTCAGTCCCATTCGGAAATGTACCCTAACAAACACATCAGCATCATTTCATTGTTCATATATACAATAGTCTCAAATGTAATGAAGATAATACACAAACTCGAGTGCAGTTAGGGAACTAATAGTAGTAGTAATACCTTGTAAACCTCGCCAAATCCACCTCTTCCAATATTGTTACTCTCTGAAAAAGCATTTGTTGCAGCTTGAATCATTTTATAGTCCAGTTGCAGCGAGTCTGTGCTCGATATTTCATCTCCTTTTGCACAATAATAGTCTAAGTAAGGAGGACATTAATCAAACTGGATAAAGATTGTTCATGACATGAATCTTACCATCAGTTGCAGGTGCTGTATCATAAGCCTCCTTCTTCCTCTTTGTGAAGAAACAATAACCAGCTATCAAAAGCAGAATAACCACTATAGTTGACACAACAATGACTACCACTAACACGTTTGTTTTCCCTCCTTTCCCTACTTTCCAAACACCATTTACTCAAGATCAGAGAGTTAATATGTAGTAAATCTAAAATCAATGTGAAAGGAAAAAACCTTCAATAGTTTCTAGAAACCAAAAAAACAGAGGAAAAAACAGAGCTCTAACCTGGTCGTGCTGGAGCTGAAACGGGAGGTGGTAGCGGTGGTGGTTGTGTGGCTTTAACTGCAGTCTCATTGTAGAACGGATAAGTCTCGAATCTTGAATTACAGTTAGTCAAAATAAATCTTCCTCCAACCCTGTCCTGAGGCAACTGATTGATGGATATTTGAAGACAAGTCGAACAATCTTGTCTTGTAAGATCGGGAATGCACTGAACCAGTACGTAGATATTCTGAGATGCCGTGAAGTTAGCTTTTCTCGCATCGAATTTTCCAGGACTTGACACGGCATCGGCGACGGCTTGGCTCAAGGTGGACATGAGCACAAAGCTGAACCGTTCTAACTGGTTAGATGGAATACTCTGCTCCTTCCTAGAGACAGCTTCACTAGATATAATAGTCCGGTGAGAGTATGTGAGCATACACTCGTCGTAGTAAAGCACAGCATCTTTCTGATTTGGACAACGAGTGAATGAGTCGTTGACGGAGAAGGCTACGCAGCTGCTGCAAACTTCTGGCGAGACGTCTCCTCGGCAGAGGAAGAGTCCGGTGACTCTGTCGGGGTTTGTCCGGATGTGGCGTTTTGGTATCCGGTGGAGTAGGAAGCGTTGGGGGAAGAGAGTGAAGAGAAAAGAGTTCTGAGATTGGTGGAGTAAGAGCTGTTTCTTGAGTAAGTTGTAGTGTTGGGACAGTCATTGTAAACATAAGTATGGTTTTGAGCGCAAATTGTGAGGAGTGATGAGAATATGAAAACGAAAAAGAAACATGTGTAAGAAGAAATTTTTATTTTTTTCTTTTGTATGATTTGTTTGAAGCTTGTACATACTATGAAATAATTGATTTTGTTTCTCTCCGTTGCTGTAGTCTCAGATGATGGTCTTGTGACGACGATAAGTCAGTCAAAGTAAACGCTGTCTTTTCTCAATGTGTGAGTTGAATTTTCCTGCCCAACTTTTGTTCCCGCTAATCTACGGCTTATTAATTTTTATGTAACATTTCTCTAACTAATTCATGCCAATATGTCAAATTGTTAACCAATAGGCTACTAACAACCAATGGCCTCTTTTCCTATTAAATATTTACTCTCTATTTGACTTTTCGTATCAATGACTAAAGTCAAGGTGATCTAGATTCTTTTTGAATCAAAAATGAATAGAAGTTATCCTTCATGTTCTTTATTTTTCTTTACTGAACCCTTGTTTTATTCAATTTTAGATAAAAAAATTAGAAGTGGATTGAAATTAGATTTACCTTTCATAGAATCAAATATAAACATGAGTTGGAGACATTCTAAAATTTTCCCTGAATCAAGCTTACAAAATAAAAGGACTGAACAAAGAAACTTGAGCAAAGTTTACTCCTTCCCATCCTGAAACTACTAGTGTTAGCGCATGAATTTTTGGACGAGTGGTTAAACGCATACATTGGTTTTATTGTGCACTCCGTTTGCTTCCAATGGAAAAAGATGTCTTATAGCATGTCATGAGGTTTAGGTAACGATTGGTTCCATTTAGGGGTATTAGAGACCAGGCCAGAAGTCTTCATAGTTAACCAAAAGATGTATGAAATACGATGCTAATGAAAAATTCATTTATTCTAGAGGTAGATTTTGTGTTTTCAAAGTTGTTTAGTAGTTTTTTCTTCAAAAACAAAAGTTCCAATGGAGGATAGAGCGGGTGGAAATGTGGAATCGTGTTGAACTACTCACTAAATTTTGCATTACTCCATTAGCTTCGGACCATTGCCACTCGGCCGACATTTTTTTCTCCATTAAACTATACCTAAGAAGCATTTAGAAGTAAACTAATTTATAGGCTTATGACCTCTTCACTTTTATATCGCTCATCAGTCTCCATTATCAAAGCAGAATGTTGATATTATAGCATTATCTGCCGTAGTCTCATTTCATTTCGTGTCAGGACCAACCTTACCTTATCATTCAAAGTCTTATTGTATCTCAGACCGCTATAACTAATAACTCTAGCTATGACGTAGTTCCATAAAAGTCTCTTGTCAAAGACCTAGTCATGGTTTAAGTTTTAACCTATTTTTGAATTATATACTAAAATTGATAACCAAAAAAAGGCTTATAAGTTTTTTCTTTCTTGTTCTGTTTATAATGTGCAAGTTTTTTCTTCGTTGGCTTACCAAGAAAATGTTAATAATGGGTTAGTAATTAGTACCAAACGTGGGGTAGGCAAAGACAATTCAAGACAAGACGCGTTTACGTTGACTTTGACTTGTCGTCGCTACGAAACACTGATCACTGTCCACATAAAACCATCCTCTGTTTCGTGCTAATATATACAGTCTCAAAAAAAAAAATCAATTTGCTTTCATCCTATTGAAGTAGTTTTCTCAAAGCTCCAGTCATGTCTTCTTGTTCCACTCTCGTGTTCCTCTTCCTTCTCTCCTTTCTCACAAGCTTCAGAGCTTCTGCTCAAGATCCAACTTACCTATACCACACATGTCCAAATACCACAACTTACTCAAGAAACAGCACTTACTCCACCAACCTCAGAGCCCTTTTGTCTTCCCTCTCTTCCCGCAACGCCTCTTACTCCACCGGATTCCAAAACGCCACCGCTGGGCAAGCCCCTGACAGAGTCACCGGACTTTTCCTCTGCCGTGGAGACGTCACACCTGAAATTTGCCGTAGCTGCGTCGCCTTTGCCGTCAACGACACGTTAAATCGGTGTCCGAACCAGAGAGAGGTGACGTTATATTACGACGAGTGCATGCTCAGATACTCTAACCGGAACATTCTCTCGACCCTGACCTCCAGTGGAGGGGTTATCATGTCTAACAGCCAGAATGTTACATCGAACCAAACTGGGTTCAGAGATTTGGTCTTGTCCACGATGAACCAAGCAGCTGCCGATGCATCCAGCAGTCCTCGGAGATTCGATGCCAGAAAAACCAACTTCACCGCGTTCCAGACTTTGTACGGACTAGTTCAGTGTACTCCTGATCTGTCGAGACAAGATTGTTTGAGTTGTCTGCAGCAGATCGTCAATCAATTGCCTTCTGACAAAATCGGAGGAAGACTTATGGTGCCGAGCTGTAACTCAAGATTCGAGCTTTACCAGTTTTACAACGAATCCAATGTTAGAACACCACCATCTGCTCCGGTTCCTCCTCCTCAAGTGTTAATTCCTCCGCCAACTGGTCAGAGCTCTGTTTCCTTTCTCTGTTTTTCTTGTTCATGTTTCCATGTAAAATTAGCACTAACAATATTAGGAAGCTCTGTTCTTTTGACATAACATTTGATTTGTTAGTCGTCTGCCATTGTCTTATCTTAATTAAGCAAATGAGGTTTGTATGTAATAGGAGGGAAAGGTGGGAACTCAACTGTGTTGGTGGTAGCTATTGTTGTGCCTATTATAGTCGCTATTCTGCTTTTCATAGCTGGTTATTGTTTCCTTGCAAAGAGGGCAAAGAAGGCTTATCACACAACATCTGCATTTGATGGTAAGTGATCAACAGTCCTTTTTGGGGTTTGATTTTTTTATTAGTGTCAATGCTTAGCTCTTTAAATTTTCATTGTGGAACAGGAGATGATATAACAACCGCAGAGTCGCTGCAGCTTGATTATAGATCAATTCAAACTGCAACAGCTGATTTTGCAGAGAGTAATAAGATCGGTCAAGGTGGATTTGGTGAGGTTTACAAGGTACCATTCGTTCTTTAACTGTCTAAAGTTGTGTTTGTTTGTCTTCAAAATTTTGTACCAACACATAATGGGTTGATGCTTGTGGTAATGATAGGGTGCATTATCTGATGGGACTGAAGTTGCAGTGAAGAAACTCTCAAAGTCCTCTGGACAAGGTGATGTGGAGTTCAAGAACGAGGTTATTCTTGTTGCAAAGCTACAACATAGAAATCTGGTTAGACTTCTTGGGTTTTGTTTAGAAGGAGAAGAGAGGGTACTAGTCTACGAATATGTGCCCAACAAAAGCCTTGATTACTTCCTCTTTGGTTAGTCACATGTAATACTTTGTTTCAATGGTTCTTGAGACATGGGAATGCAAATCGTTACGAGTTAACTGTAATATATGGATGTGCACAGACCCTGCAAAACAAGCTCAGCTGGATTGGTCTCGGCGATACAAGATTATAGGTGCCGTTGCTAGAGGGATTCTATATCTTCATCAAGATTCACGACTCACAATCATACACCGTGACCTCAAAGCAAGTAATATTCTCTTGGATGCGGATATGAATCCTAAAATTGCAGATTTTGGAATGGCTAGGATCTTTGGACTTGACCAAACTCAGGAGAACACAAGCAGAATAGTTGGTACCTAGTAAGTCTTCCTCTTAACTTCTCTTAAATTGATACTTTCTGAACTTTTGTTTGCCAACATAGTTTTTTTTGTGTGGGTTTCAGTGGTTACATGTCTCCTGAATATGCAATGCATGGTCAATACTCAATGAAATCTGATGTCTATAGCTTCGGAGTGTTAGTTCTTGAGATTATAAGCGGCAAGAAAAATAGCAGCTTCTACCAAACTGATGGTGCACATGACTTGGTCTCATATGTAAGTCATGAGCCATTCTTATTTATCTAGTCATGGTTTCATCAAGTGTTGATTAATTGATTAATATTTTCTAGGCGTGGAGGCTTTGGAGTAATGGGACACCACTAGACCTCGTGGATCCAGTTATCGTAGATAATTGCCAGAGGAATGAAGTTGTTCGATGTGTCCATATTGGTCTTTTGTGTGTTCAAGAAGATCCTGTAGAGCGTCCAACCTTGTCAACCATTGTTCTGATGCTCACCAGTAATACTGTGACATTACCAGTGCCTAGGCAACCAGGTCTTTACTTTCCCAGTAGACCGGAAAAAGAAAAAGATCCACTTGATTCTGCTCAATATACATCAACTCAATCTCTTGTAGGGTCTGTTGATGATGCCTCGATCACAGATGTGTATCCTCGTTGAAGACGAATGTGTACCGTCATGCCTGGTTTCTAAATCAATTAGTTTTGAAAATAAGATGTAGTGTAACTGTTTGTATTGTTATTATAGCCTCAAGCATATATGAGTTGTATAATATAACATCTGCTTTTTCTTGGAGAAAAATAGTCACTTGTTTTGCCATACTAAGCCTCTAATAAGCCTAACTCAGTGATCAATAGCTTCTTTATCAGCTCGAAGAAAGAAAGCAACCTGAAAATATTTCCCTAATTTTCAGTTTCGCTGTAAATATTCAATGACTTAACCATTGTAGATGCCGTCTAGGTTTAGTAATCACCACTGAATTGAAAACCAGAGTGTGTGGACATAGTTATGAAGAGACAAGAGTATGTGAATGCCTGAATCATCAACGAAACTGATACGACATCCTCCAGAAATTCAATTCAGGAGCTCAGTAACAAATTTACAATGATAGGTGAAGTGCAATCTTGGAGCTCTAACACCAAAAATACAACACAAAAACCATACTAGAGAACACCAAGATTGATATTTAACGAGGATCCATATCAGTAATCGTTGCATCATTGGTAGATTGACCTGACTCTAAATCTTCAGCTGCTAAGTCTTGATTGTGTATGCTTCCGAAGTAAAATCCAGGTTGGTGAGGCACCGGTAAAGTGATTGTGTTACTTGTGAGCATCATGATGATTGTCGACAAAGTTGGACGATCCTTGGGATTTTCTTGAACACATAACAAGGCGATATGGATGAATCTTGTAACTTCGTTGGTGTCACAACTCTCTCCAACATCTGGATCCACTAGTTCAAAAGGTGACCCGTTTCTCCAAACCCTCCATGCCTACATAATGATCAACTAATTAATACTTATTAACTAGACTGAAGTTCATATTTTGATGTTTCTTTCTCCATACTCACATATGTGACCAGGTTGCTACCATTACTGTCTGTTTGGTGGAAGCTACTATTCCGCTTGCCATTAATAATCTCGAGAACTAAGACTCCAAAGCTATAGACATCAGACTTTGTGGAGTACAATCCATGCATCGCGTACTCAGGAGACATATAGCCGCTGAAACAAAGAGGGAAGTTGAGCATACAAATGACAAAAAAGGTTTCAAAGACTTCATCAATTCATAAGAATTAAAAAGGGAAAAGAAAGTACTATGTTCCAACAATTCTGTTTGTATTGTCTAGTGTTTGATCAATCTCAATAATCCTGGCCATGCCAAAATCCGCAATTTTCGGGTTCATATCTGCATCTAAAAGAATGTTACTGGCTTTAAGATCGCGGTGTATGATTGTAAGCCGAGAATCTTGATGAAGGTATAGCATTCCTCGAGCAATCCCTTTGATGATCTTGTTTCTTGTTGTCCAATCTAATTGACTTTGCCTTTCATTGTCTGCACACCCGGATATAATCATTAGCTATATCACTAAGAACGAGGAGTATAAGAGAAGTATTGATGATGAGACATACCAAACAATAGATAATCAAGACTCTTGTTGGGAACTAACTCGTACACAAGAATTTTTTCTTGTCCTTCCAAACAAAACCCAAGAAGCCTAACCAGGTTTCGATGTTGGAGCTTAGCTACAAGAACAGCCTCTGTTTTGAACTCTTCTGCACCTTGTCCTGACGTTTTTGACAGTCTCTTAACCGCTACTTCTGTTCCATTTGGAAGTACACCCTGAAAGAATAATTGACAATTTTTTTCAAACCATAACACTGTTAGTTTCAAACTTCCAACTCAAGAAACAAAAACAAGAAGTTGAAAGAACATGAATTTACCTTGTATACTTCCCCGAATCCACCTTGACCTAGCCTGTTACTCCTCGAAAACTTATCTGTTGCAGCTTCGACTGTCTTAAAATCGAATTGAAGTGAATGTTGGGTTGAAATATCATCACCAGCTGCACAGCGAAAAGTGAGAATCGTTAAGCTGATATATTCACACTTTCTTCCTTTCTAAAACAGTATAAAGACAAGCAATAGACGTCAAAGAAAATATCACAGAGACAAAATCCTAGCTACGACCGTACAAAACCCTACGAAGTAAATTGTGTAATACGTAACGTGCTTTTTACGCCAATCATGATCAAACCCTAGTTTTCCTAATTTCAAATAAACTTGACTTTGGATTATTCATAACCACATGTAATGCTTACCAACTACAAACTTACATTGAAAATCAATTTCTCCGTACGATCTTTTCCTCCGGTAAAAAGCAAACGCAAGACCGAGCAGCATCAAGACAATGACAACGATTGCAACCACAATACCCACAACAGCTCCCACCGAAAGCGAATCGTCATCTACACAAAAGTAAAATTATTATTTTTGCTATATTTGAGGAAAATGTTGAAAATTATATGTTATTGAATTTGGTTTTTAATTTTTATGTTTTAGAAATCTATAAATGCTAATTACTAATGTCTGGATTTTTTTTAAACACTTCACATATTAAAAATGAAAGTACTATAGAAAAATTAAAATAAATTAAAATTCACAAGCCAATAACAAGGTTCACTAAAGGGTTTTGCTGTAGATACCTTTCTTGGTGGGACTAGGAGCATCTCCAATATTATCAAAAGCCCCTAAGAAAGGATAAAGATCCCACCGGACATAACAGCTCGGCCTCCTAGTAGCACCTCCTATATTCGCGCGACAACACTCTTGATAGCTCCGAACATTTGCACGGAGACAAGCATCACAGTTTCCCGGAGATAAATCCGGAGAGCATGACATCAACGCATAAATTCGCTGAAAAGTCGTCACTGACGTTACGTTCGCCGCATAATACTTACCACCATTAGAAGAAGATGTAACTCCGTTTCGTCCCGAGGAAGCTGCTTCTATCATTTGAAGTGTGAAGGCGTCCAAAATTCTATGGAACTCCGAAACATCCGACGTGATGTTTCCGCCGTTGTACCTTACGGTGTGTGGCTCAAGCTCCATCGAACCAAAGAAAGAACGGTTTGCGTAACGAACCATGCAGAGTGTGTTGGTTCCTGGCCATGAGTAAGCCTCGGTTTGGTTGGGACAACTCTGTATTAGCTCAGTGACTCCTTCGGTTATACAGTCGAAGCAATCGTTTGATTCGGATCCGGGGATGCAAAAGCCCATGGCGAAGACTTGGTTTGGTTCTTGTCCAATGGAAGAGTTGTAGAAAAAGCCATCTCGGGAAGTAACGTTAGAGGCAAGAGACGAGAGGATGAGTAGACGGTTTGAGTTGTAAGTAGAGTTTGGTCTGAAAGTCCCTGCACTGTCCACGCAAGTTTGTCCAGACACGGAGACAAAACTAAAAGTCAGAAGGACGAGCAAGAAGATGGGCAAGAGATTGTTTCTACCCATTTTTGAAAAATTTCAATTTTGTTCTTATCTTGGAAGGTCAAAGTTAAATAGGCAGGCTTGTGTGTTCTTGGATTTGTCAATATTGGAGGCCTAAAAGTAAGTCATGTTGGCAATTATTAAAAGGGTTTTAGATACGTGAAGTCACTAGCAAATGTTTAATTAATTTGAAGTCAATAGTTCACGCAAGCAGGTGATTCAAGGCTTTGGGTACAGAATGTCAAAGTTAAGGTTAATTAAAATCGATTTATTTAATAGAAATTTGGAAAACGATAGATGTTAAACGTGTTACTTGTTTGTTTGGTCGTTGGTAATGGACCGCAGCCACGGTCCATGTAATGTGATAAATTGACTAACGATATTTTTAAACGCGGCACTATATTCTATGATGAGTCAAGTCAATTCACTAATCAAGGACCAGCTGTTTTCAAGATGAAAGTGATAGATTGACTAACGAGATTTCTAAACGTGGCGTTATTTTCTATAGGCAAGCGGGCATAAATTAGTCTTAGTACAGAGTTTCTATTCTGCATAATCAAGCAAATCATCTCATAGTCTTATAAGGAAAAATAGTATGAATCCTTGATTTTGCTAATGAGATTGATTTAGTCCATCAGGGCTTATCAGTTTCTTGTTATCTAGGGGAAATGACATGTTGATGTCGTAGAAACGGGCTTGAGTCACTGTTTTCAAAGGGATGAGAAGGCATTGAGGATCATAAGAAAATCTTCTGCATCATTTTTTTCTCTAAGATTATACAATTGGTTATATATTATATGAAGAATTTCTTATTTGAGATTTACAATAATTGAAGATTATCAGCAAATTATTATAAAGGGTTTTTTATGTTGAATATTCTACTGGAATGAGAGTGACCTTAAAAAAATAGATGTTTGATACCTAGTCAATTGGTTTCACATAAAACTCGTAAATCAATATTATTAAAATAGAAGAAGTTATAAAAATCTACATATACAAACTGTTTGGACCCTTTTACTATACTTAAATGTTCCGGTCTTACCTTTATTTTCGTTAAATATACAACATTATTACTAATCTATAAGATTCTCCTAAGATTTTATCACTATTTTTTTTAATAACTATAACAATAAAGTCGACAATATTAATTACTCTATCCCACAATAATAGATCGGTATGTTATCTTACCAAATAAATATAAGAGCGTTAACCAGTTTAGTATTTATTCACTTCCAATTTTGAATTAAATCACGTACAACAAATATTTATTCTAAACATGGACTAAGTAAATATACTAAAAATTAATAATATTTTTATACAAATTAACAACGTATCTATATTTTTTCTACATTTCAAAATCATTCAGAAATAAAAAGGTATAGAATCTATAGATTAACAAACATAATAACATCAAATTATTATTTTAAAAATCTATGTATCAATATTCAGAATAAATCAACCGAATATAAACTAAAAATCCTATACCCTAAACCATATATATATATATATATATATATATATATATATATATATATATATATATATTTGAATATCATTAGTTTTAATATCAAATTAAAATTTTAGCTAAAAATTAATATGAATAAATAATTAAATAAAAATTATTAGAAAATTAAATTTTAAATCTAAAATAAATAAATAAAGTTAGGATAAGTTATTAATAACAGAGGACAAAAAGTTATTAATGACGAAAATAAACTAATTTTTTCATCACAATAGGTTTTTTTTCTGTCAACGTCATTTGAATGACATAATAAAATTTTAATCAAAAGCTAAGAAATCACAAATTTATCCAATTTTATGTAATTTTAACAATATATGAAAAACTTATCAAAAAAATAGTATCAAATTTTTAAATTTTTTATGTGACCAATTGGTAACAGATTTTGGGTTGTTATCGAATTTTCATTAATTACGATCTGGATTATATTTTGGGTCGTCGAGTCTACCGGTTCGACAATAGATCTGGATCGTATATAAAAATATTGTTGAAACTCAAAAATTATGATAAAACAGTTTTAAAATAATTTATTTAGTAAAAAAAATTCAAGAAAATTTTATAAGGAAGATCAACAAAAAATATCGGCGCAGTATTGTATAGCCTATAGCATCTTACTGGACGCCGATATGAACCCGAAAGTGGCCGATTTTGGAATGGCAAGAATTTTTGGAATGGACCAAACGGAAGCCAATACGAAAAGAATAGTTGGAACCTAGTAAGATTTTCTGTTTCATGACATGTCTATGTGGACAGTAATAATATGCTTTTATATTAACTCGACATTTCAAGAATGTTGGCAGTGGTTACGTGTCTCCGGAATATGCAATGTACGGCCAATTCTCCATGAAATCAGATGTGTACAGTTTTGGAGTCCTAGTTCTTCAGATTATAAGTGGCAAAAAGAACAGCAGTCTCTATCAAATGGATGGTAGTGCTGGCAATTTGGTTACATATGTGCGTATACACCCTTGAAACTTTCACTAATTTTGTTTGCTTCATTTAACAATGATTAACGTTTTAATTATTAAAATCTTTCATAGGCATAGAGACTATGGAGCAATGGGTCGCCATTAAAGCTCATCGATACATCATTTCAAGATAATTATCAAACAGTCGAAGTTACAAGATGCATCCATATCGCTTTACTATGTGTTCAAGAAGAAGCTGAAGATCGTCCAACCATGTCAGAGATCGTCCAAATGCTCACTACTAGCTCCATCTCTCTCATTTTGCCTCGACCACCTGGATTTTTCCTCCGAAGTAAGCATGAACAAGTAAGAGTGGAACCTTTTATGGACACTTTTGCCACCGGTTCTGTGGACAAGGATTTGATTACTCAAGTAGCTCCTCGTTGACAAAACTATTCATAAATAAATAATAATGTGATAAACCAAGGCGTTGGTAGCCTAGCCTAGTGGTAGTGCAAGGTGGTTGGTTTTCTTGTGCTCTGGGTTCAATCCAACTCTTGTTACAAAGGGCTATTTCTTTCAATCAGAATTTCTTAAAGTTGACAACGGGCTTATGGCAGATTATGGGTCTAAGGTTTGGAACTTTCATGGTAATAAAGAAAATGTTGTGATATAATGATCGCAGAGTGATATCTATAAAATTAGAGACTCATGAATATTTCATCCGGATGTTGATTTTTTTCTATGAGGTATTCGAAACCATTTGTTGTCTACCTTTTATGTGATCGATTTTCTGTCGAATCAGTGATATACAACTCGTAAAATAGATGTGCACTTCAGCATTTTTTTCTCCACAATGACAATAACAGGTAATAATGCCTCAATTATTGTATCTGCATGCTTTGATTTATAAGATTATTAGATTACTGATACAATTCCTTCTGAGATTGGGGTGGCAGTTAAGCTTACAAAGACGATAAATTTATTACAGAGCTATTCGTTTTGTTTAAGTCTTTTCAAGATTTCATCATTAATAATCGGTTTACGAAAAAATATAAATATATAATCAACAATAGCATGGCCTTCAACTAGGACTAACACATGGGATCGATATATCATTGACAGATTAAGCAATGGACATGCTAGTGGATGGACCAGGCTGCAAGCTCTCAGATAATGGGACTTTCTCTGATCTGGCCCTGAGGAAAAATCCAGGAGGTTGAGGCACAGGGAGCGTACGTGAAGTATTAGTGAGAATCTGAAATATTGTCAAAATGGTTGGACGATCTGTTGGATTTTCTTGAACGCATAATAACCCAATATGAACACATAATAACCAATATGTACATATGTATGCATCTGATGACTTCATACTTATCATAGTTATCTCCAATGACCGGATCTAGAAGTTCCAACAATGATTCTTTGTTCTAAAGCCTCCATCCCTGTTTATTCGTTTTCCAAGAAACTAAAGTTCAGAGCAATGATCATTGCTAAAAGAAGTAACAAAAATTGAGATAATCTGCAAAATTACTAACATGTGTGACCAAGTTGCTTATTGAGCCGTCTGTCTCGTTGAAGCTACTATTCTTCTCCACAAACAATCTCAAGAATCAATACTCCAAAACTACAATCTGACTTCGTCGAGGATTGGCCATTCGCTACATATTCGGGTGGAGTGTAACCGCTGCAAAATGTCATGTAACTTTCTGTTTTATCAACAACGATAGAAAGATACTGAATATAACTAAAACAAACAATTACTTACAATGTTCCAACTACTCTCCTTGTTTTATCTTCCGTTTGGTCCATTCTGAAATCCCTAGCCATACTAAAATCCGCAATTTTCGGGTTCATATCCGCATCGAATAGAATATTGTATCTTCACTCTGACATAATGAATCAAAACTAACTCTCATTTGCTAAACTGATAATCATAATATGAAATGTTCTTCCTTCAGATAGTGCAGGCAAAAGACAAAACAGAAAAACACATGGACACATTGCAATAAGATTCTTAACAGAATCAAAGATTGTCGAGAGAAGAAAGAAAGTGAAAAACCTGCATGAAGTTGTAGCGTTCTCGTCTAATGGACTCGTTCTCAGCGATAGCAAGTAAGCAAGCATGGGGTAGTGACCAAGTAAGCAAGCATGGGGTAGTGACCAATCACGCTGAATGTTCACTGCCCATTCGCTATATCTTATAACTATTTATGAGATTAATTCATTAAAAATTAGTTAAATGTTTTTTTTCACGATTCAAAAATATTTGATAGGTTTATTTGCCAATGTATGAGATTAATTCATTAAAAATTAGTTAAATGTTTTTTTTTCACGATTCAAAAATATTTGATAGGTTTTATTACTGAAACCTCTATATCTTATAACTATTATTACGAGTATCAAATCAATTTTTTTTGATGTTTTGGAATTATGTGATCGCCATCAAATATTTTTATTTCTTAATTTCTGTAATAGTTTACTTTCAGTTTGGCGTTTCGAAAGTTTGCATTTCTATAGTCGGAAAGGCAAGATTTAATTTTGTTATATGTTTTTCAAACTCTAAAACTAATTTAAAAATTTGACACTTACACATAATGATCTTGTTATATGTTCTTCAATTTTTACACCAAACCACGCTAAATCGTTTTACTCAGCTGCTAAAAATTGATAAAATCTTATTTAAGTATGAATGAAAATAAATTGCTTTTTTTTGATAATTGAATTCCAGACTTTTTGATTTGTGAATATAAATAACTCTTGATTAATTATTAGAACAAGATGACTTTCATTATGTGAGCTATATTAGGTGAACAATTTGATTAACTAAATAAAATTAATATTCAACAAGTTAGGTTTGCGGATATCTATCTTGAGAATAAAAAGTTTGAGATAGTGTAGATTGATGTAGTCATAAAAATAGAATGTAAATTGATAACGATAAATCTTTCCTGTCGAAAACTATTATTTTATTTTTAGTATATTGAAATTATGTGTTATGATGATGTCCATAAGAATATTCAAATATAGTAGGTTGAAGATTATTCTATCACAGTGTATCACTTGGAATCAATCAGCTTTTATAAAAGAGAGGCTCCTCATGGAAAATGTCTTATTGGCTACGGAGATAGTAAAGGATTACCACAAGGATACAGTTTCCCCTAGGTGCTCTATGAAAATCGACATCTCTAAGGCTTTCGACTCGGTACAATGGGATTTCCTGATGAACACTTTAAGGGCGATGGGGATCCCGGAGGTATTTATTCACTGGATCTCTTTATGCATTACTACGGCTTCCTTTTCTGTGCAAATTAATGGCGAACTTGCTGGTTATTTCCAAAGCAAGAGAGGTTTACGTCAAGGTTGCTCACTATCTCCGTACCTTTTTGTCATTTGTATGAATGTTTTGTCGAGACTGGTTGATGAAGCAGCGATCCAAGGAAGAATAGGGTTCCATCCTAAGTGTAAGAACATAGGTTTGACTCACCTATGTTTTGCAGATGATATAATGATATTCTCGGATG